AACAAGCAAGAAAACAAAATGGGAATGGACAGATGAATGTGATCATGCGTTTCATACACTGAAAGAAAAACTTGTGAGTGCTCCAATTCTTGGATATCCAGATCCAAATGCTGGTCATTTTATTCTTGATACAGATGCAAGTAATAGTGCTATTGGTTGTGTGCTATCCCAAATTCAGGAACATGGTGAAAAAGTGATAGCTTACGGGAGTCATTCGTTAACTACAGCGGAGAGAAATTATTGTGTTACACGAAAAGAAATGCTCGCCGTAGTTTATTTCATGAAATACTTTAAACATTACCTGTTGGGAAAGGAATTCGTGTTACGCACAGATCATGGATCTCTCACTTGGTTACACAGATTCAAAGAGCCAGACGGACAGATATGCAGATGGCTACAGCAAATAGGACCGTTTGATTTTAAAATTGTTCATCGTGCAGGGAAACGACATTCTAATGCAGACGGTTTATCAAGAATCACTGTTACTTCGGATGAGACCGTTTGCAGACAATGCAAAAGAAAATTAGGCGATGAATACGACCGAGCCCCGGAAAGTCACATTAATGATTTGCGCAAACACAAGTGTGAGACAGATTTGTGTATTGACCAAGCTATATGTGATATTCATTATTTGTTTAACACAAATGAAAGTGACAACAATCAGGCAACAGGAAGAGGACGAACAGAAAATAGACCAAGACGAGCAAAGCCGCAACCTGAGCCCGATGTAGACTTAACATATTCTGGACTTCGAAAAAGTCAGATGGGAGACAAAGTTATCGGATTTATTCTAAGTTGGATTGAAAAATATGGGAGCAAAGACAAGCCTAAATTTGACGCTTTATTTCATATGCCCCCTGAGAGTCGATTCTGGTATGGACGATGGGAACTACTCACCATACATGAGGGCGTGTTGTGTATCAAGTGGATACAGGATGATTCAATACGTTTACGGATCTGTACACCTAAATCACTGAGAATTGCATTGTTGTGGCATTTCCATGATTCGCCGATTTCTGGACATCAAGGAATTCTTAGAACCAAGAAAAGAGCGGATTTAAGTTCATATTATTGGCCTAACTTTCATCGTGATATCAGTGACTATGTCAAATCGTGTCATATTTGTGAGGAAAAGAAAAATCCACAGAAAAAGAAGAGGCATTTCATGAAAAGTTATGTGGCCGGTGGACGATTGGAGAGGATAACAGCTGATTAAGCAAGACCATTTCCCAAGTCTGAAACGGAAATATGTATATTTTAGTAGTGGCGGATTATTTCTCAAAATACACAGAAATTTATCCAATACCTAACATGGAGGCCGAAACAGTAGCGGACGCTATATTTCGGGGATGGATAAAACGTTACGGATGTCCATTAGAAATTCATACGGATCAGGGAAGTCAATTCGAGAGCCAGTTAATTTCCCAGCTCTGTGAAATAATGTGTATCTCAAAAACTCGAACAACAGCCTTCCATCCAAGATCAGACGGAATGGTAGAAAGACTCAATCGGACCATCAAAGAAATGTTATCAAAGTTCGTAAACTTACCGCAAACGAACTGGGACAAATACATAGATGCTGCAAGTATGGCGTACAACACTTCGGTACACGAGACCACAGGAATAACGCCATATCGTATGATATTTGGATGTGAAATGACAATTCCAGTGTCTTTATTATGTGATTTTAGTGATTTTCAAAATGAGGATATAAAGTGTTATACGGATTATGTGACAAAATTGTGTGAAAGTCTGGAAAAAGCGCATGATTTAGCCAGGGAGACAATGCGATCTTCGATAGAAACGCAAAGAAAACAGTATAACAAGAACATTATAGAGAAAAATTATGAAGTGGGCGACGTGGTACGACTTTACCAACCTAAACAGAAGAAAGGAACAAAAATGAAACTGTCCCGAAATTGGACTGGCCCTTGGGTTGTTCTGAAACGCCTAAGTAATATCCTATTTCAAATTCAGCACTCAAAAACGTCTAAACCAAAGATTGTGCATGCGGACAATTTAAAACCATTTCGCACAAGAAAAACAATACAACGCAATTTAGAAAAATTAGTAAATCAAACTGTGAACGCCAAAGATCAAGTGATCGAAGAGCCTAATAATATCCCTGTGCCAAAACAAAAGGATTCTAATGCAGAGGACTCCATGAAATCGCCAAAACCGAAAAGACAAAGTTCAAAGGACGCCGCCGACAGTGACCGCGCTACAGCAGGGGAAGACCGCGACAGAAGTCAGACGCGCAATACCCGAACTCCAGACAGACACTCGACGCGGACCAGGGGCGGGCGCCTTATAAAAGTGCCGCGCCGATTCAGAGACTGACCATACCATTTTTGGATGTAGAAGAGTAGAGATGCTTTGTGATATATGTGGACAAGTTTTTTAAGAACAGAAAAACGCTTAACCAACATTGTAAGGAAATTCATAGTGAATGTGTTAGTATATTTTACTGTGACTTTTGTGGAAGACCATTTTCCAGGAAATTTGATTTAAAGAAACATTTGAAACGTGTGCATGGACAAAGTGAACTGGCAATGTCGAGTAGTAGACAATTAAACAGAGAAGATCTGAAGCAAAGTCAGAAAGCAGTGTATGTTCCGTTATATGAAGATATTTCGTCTGACGAGGAATCGCTTGATGTCGCTACAATTGTCCAACCACAGCCGGTGTATGCGCCCGAACTTGAGGACATTTCCTCAGATGAGGAAATCATTGAAAAGCAGCCGACAGAGGACGAATCCTTGGAAATTATAAGTGTAAGTTCAGATCTGATGGAGGAATTGCTGGCCGAGAACGGATTACGCAATGACTTTGTGGATGACCTACTACGCGAGGACACACTAGAAGTGGAAGGAAGTGACGATTTCTTACGCGAGGACGCACCAGATGCTGAAGAACTTAGTGAAAGTGAGAACATACATTCCATAAACAATGGCGAGCCTTGTGTTAGTGCCGAAAACGTTAATCCAGTGACAATTACTCATTCAATTGGAATATCATTAACGCGAACAACTACCGTTATGCCGAATGGAAATACTGAAATCGAGAGACAAACAAATGTGTGTTTTAGTGAGAATTTAGACCCGAGTACCATTGATATGGAAGGCTTATTCGTGACATGTTGTGTGAAATTCCGATTCATTTCCAGTGCCACCGAGACCGTAACGTCTACGGAGATTTCAACCAGTGACTGTTGATTATTTTAAACTTGAACTTTTTAACAGTTAATTAAACTAATTTCTTGATTCTTAACTGTATGTAAATATTTATTTTGTATGATACTATGTTTATATTGTTTCGATAATTTATTTTGAACGGGGTCAAAATCTTAGCCGGGGGGAGTTGTAAAGTATTTGTTTATATTATGTAATCGACCGCAGAGCGGCAGCTCCCCGGTAGCTGCTGCGTATTGGCAGCTCCACCGGAGCTGCCCCTCACATGTATATATAGGGCGTGCACGCACGCGTACTGGGACATAGGGATAGATAGGAGAGATAAGAGACAGTCAGTGATAGACAGAGTTTAAGTGGATTAACGATTTGTGAACTTATATTTTGGATTACTTGTACATAATGTGATTGTGATTATTTATTAAAACATGTAATAAACTTGTAAACTTATAACTGGAATTTTTATTACGCTACCAAAGGAGGAATTTAATTAATTCTAAGGAGGATTTTAAAATAGCAAAAAGGACCGCACGCTCGGTCCCGCTACAGGTGCATCTCACGGACTTCTGTATTCCTGTACATTAACATGACTCTAAATCGCAAGATAATAACACTGTTTCTCATCTATGCTATACACTGATGGCAATGGCCATGTGTCGTGTAGATACCTAAGACTACTTTTAGGTAGTGATTGTATAGACGGTATTTACTAGTCTTCTTAATGACTTTTACTATTATTTTTTTTCAGTTATAAATCAGCATGAAAGATACCTGGTACGTTTCACTGCAAAATTTTAAAGTTTCAAACCGTCAATGTAAGAGAATTTTTATTTCAATAGTAACGATTAACTATTTTAAAAGATAAACAATAAATTTCTATCTTTGGGCATGGTTTCTTTATGCAGTTTTGTTCTTTTTTGCGCTACACTTCGACAAAACGAAGACGATACGTACATGTAAACGTGAAACGAACTTAGCAGGATGCTCATCTTTAAGAAGTCAATTTGAAAATTTGCAAAGTACTTAGCAATATACTCATCTTTAAGATGTCAATTTCAAAATTTGAACCAGATAGTATCAAAGAAAGCTCGATAAAATTTAATATTTAAATACTTATTGTAGAATCATACAGATGCACATCATAACTTTTATTAATAAAATCCCATTTAAAGCAACGACTTTGAGAACTTCGGAAAATGAATTTAAAAGACATGTAATTTTGACAAGAGATATTGGTAGAATTTTGACATCGGAAGTTCGATAATGTTAAGTTTTATTACAAGAAGAATGTGACTTTAATTTGTGCGAAAAACTATGCGAGCTTAAAAAGTGCGTGGGGCAATTATCCCTAACTGAAAAGTGGTAGTCGTGAAAGTTAAGAAACTGTCAAGGGCGGATTTAAAGTTTTCCTTACTGGAGCATTGACTATCAAAACATTGGCTCCGTCTTTTATATTTATCTTAAACATGACATTATCGATACATGTTGACACGAAATAAAAATATCATGTTACATTTTAATTATAATAAAAATATATATATATGTGTACTTTCCTTAGTAATCGTACATGTACGTGCGGGCACAGAAGAAAATATGGTTTTAATCAAAGTTAACTTTGTGGTACTATGTTTCTTTCTGCAAATTACAACTACATGTTGTATCACTCCGCATTCCCATCTACAAGGTATTTTGAAGTTGTAATAATTTTTTGAAATTTAAATATAACATCTGTTTATAAATTTAAATTTACAAATTTGTAAGAAATAATTCTTTTTAAATAGAAAATGATATACCAATGCTTTGTTCTATAAGGAAGTGTTGAGTCTTTACTGAAGTTAACTCCCTGGAACTGGAAACACCTGAACACATCCGTCAAAGTGGACACCCCGGTCTCTGTGGACATTTCTCTTCTGTCTCACTACAGACTTACTGGAAAACATTTCAATAAGTACCAGAGTAAGTATAAACCTTTTTGATAGAAAAGCGCGCAAAAATTAATCTATTGTAAAGTACACATATCATCATTTTTTTATGTAAAAATATCTCCGCGTTCTTTGGAAATAAGATTTAATGTCAATATAGTGTCAATATGGTGTCAATATATTTTAAACTGATCTTATATTTACTTCATGTAGGATTTAAATCTATTTAAAGGATTAAACAGTAACTGTATGTGTAATATGTAATTTTCAAAACAGAAGTCCAAAAGCAAAGAGACTGCGCATCAATTCTAAAATTCATACCCAACACAAAAGGGAAAGATGGCGTCTACGCTATATACCCGGATATGAAGACAAAGAAGCTGGTGTACTGTGACATGACTACAGAGGGAGGGGGTTGGACGGTTAGAAGTTTCCTGATTTTGTATTTTATGTGCATATATATATTTAAGCTAGATGTATGATCAAATTTTCATAAATCATTTGTTTTATTTTGCCTTTTATTTTCCTGCATTGTCATAGTTAAAGTTGTAATATCGAATTTGAATTTGAGTCTTTTGTATGTAGTTTTTTTGTCCCTATATTCCGTGATTTTATTATATGCTTAATTAAATTCTTTTTCATTACACATGTAGGTTATCAATAGGAGGATGGACGGATCAGTAGATTTTTATAGATCCTGGGACTCGTACAAAGAAGGATTTGGTAATGTGGAAGGGGAATACTGGTTAGGTAATACATAGATTGATTGTCCATCATATGAATTATATAGATACCCCCCCCCCCTCCCCAAATAAAGGTCATCGATAAATTTAATTATGTATCCTGATAGATTCATTAAGTTGCATGCATTCAACCATTTCAAACCCATTTTGAACTAGCAAAATGAGACATTTTAGAGAAAATTTATGTATGAACTCAAACTGAGGTAAATGTAGTGAAAATTGGGCTTGGTGTATTTTGCAAACCTTTAAAACAAGACTTAATAATGTTTCATCAAGTAATTTAGATTCAAGTTTGTTCAAATCCTGAACCCCGGGAGGTAGGTCGGGGCAAACATTTTTACACCCACTGTTATTTAAAATTTTAAAGTTAAATTATAAGGAATAAATGAAATTCTTGGCCAAATTATTCGAGTACAACCTGGGTTAGATCAGTTTATTCAATATTTATGCACTCAGATATTCATTAAACGCCATTAATTTTTATTTACTGTACTTTTCATATATTGTTTAAAAAACAAAATGCTTGTTCATTTTTTGTTTTCTTGTTTTTTCATCTTTTTTTTACCTAAATAATCAAAGAATATATTCACAAATATGAAATTTATGGTTTGAATTTTTTCAGAGCATAATTCATAATTATATAGTAATTGACCGCCATTTGAACTACTCCTAACAAAAAGTTTTCACTATTATAGTTGAAGTATTTTTACTATGAATTTCAGATATATTGTAGATATTATTTATTTTTCAAAATTATAACATGTTTCTGACATTTCTGACTTAAATGTATATATATACATGTTATGTTATTTAAAAAATATTAACGTTCTAGATCTTCAAAATCTTCAAAAAAGTTCTAGAGTAAGGCGTCATAGTAAGTCAAAGTATTTACTATAGTTAACTATAGTAATCACTTTTGTTCACTATAGAAGCAATTTTTTAGAGAGAGTACTATTTTTTATCTTTATTTTCTTTTTTTTCTTTTAATTAGTTTGATATATTTATTTTGAACAAAAGTGTTGAAATTGTTAAATTTGTATGAAGGATATGATTGCACCAAGAAGAAATATTAGCCTAGTTTGTTTTTACCGCATCAATTTCTTCATGTTATTTCATATTGGTTTGTCTGCTTGCCATACATCTGTAAAAATATTAATAGAGGAAGTTTTCGTTTTTTAGGAAATGAAGCCATTCACTTACTTACTAAAGGGAAAAAACATGAACTGAGAGTGGACCTTCAGAAGTTTACGGGTGAAAAAGCCTTTGCCAAGTACTCCAAGTTTTCTGTCGGAAGCGAGTCCCAAAAATTCAAATTGACAGCCACGGGGTACAGTGGTACTGCAGGTGATTTATTAATAACAATTAGAACAAAAATAAATTATTTACTCTAAATATGACAATGACTGTTTCCATCCCCAAATTTTTATGCACATTTATATTCATTTAAATGGATATTTATTTATATTGACAACTTTCAAAAAATAGTATAGTATGTGTTAGACCTGGTTTAAACATAGGCATTAAATGACTCTAAACAAGACAAAAGTGGGACAAGAATTTGAAAAAAAGAATGTATTTTAGGTGATAGTTTGGCGTGGCATAATGGAAGACCGTTCTCTACGAAGGATGCAGACAACGATTCTTCGAAGAAGTATGCCTGTGCTGTTCGTGGTAAAGCTGGCTGGTGGTTTAATTCTTGTGATAACTCTAATCTGAACGGACCTTATCACAAATCTGCCGTCAAATCGGATCTTAGTATTAACTGGGACCACTTTGGTAAAGGCTTTTCCTTGAAGACTGCAAAAATGATGAGCAGGCCCGTAAAATAAATAAATTATTGCGGAAGTATCAATAAAGAATAATTCAACATGTTTCCTTTCTGTGAATTTGAACAATGGTTTCATCAATATTTTGAATCTTCGTTTGGGGTATATATATGTAATAACATTTGGATCTGTATGGAATAATATTAGAATTAAAAAAAGACAAACAATTTTACATTTGGGGTTTGATATACATGTATTTTGAACGAAAGTTTAAAGAAATACGCACGCTAACTCTCGATTCCCGCCTACATTTTGCAACCATATAATTTAATATAAATGGCAATTTGGCAATAAATTCTTTCTTTAATTTAAAAAATAGTTCAATAGAAATACCAGCGCTAAATAGTAAATTATCCATACATGTAACTCCAGCTCTTGAAAAAAAAGGGGGGGGGACGATATTTTTCATTGAAATCGGACTTTCAAACATCGCCACCGTTCACGGTAGCTCAGTCGGTAGAGCGCTCGCTCCATGATCGGGAGGTCGTGAGTTCGTATCTCGGCCGCGACTGACCTAGTCGTTAAAATGGGTAGCAACTGTTCCTTTGCCATGCGCTCGGCACTTTAAAGTGAAAGTTGCGGGTCCTTCGGATGAGACCTTAAAAACCGAGTCCCCGTGTCAGCGGCAGGCGTTGGCACGATAAAGATCCCTCACTGCTCAATGGCCCTGAGTGCCGAGTATAGGTCAAAATTTGAAGCCATTCACCGGCATACGCTGACGTCTCCATATGAGTGAAAAATTCCCGAGAGGGACGTTAAATTATATACAATCAATCAATCAATCAATCAATCAAACATCAACATATTTTGAAATAGTCTTGGATATGATTAAATGTTTCTTATATCTTGTCTTATGTTTAAGGTAAAAAAAAGAAATGAAACATAAATATATTAATAAAATATCATGTTTCAGTAGTAAATCGCTTTGGAAATGATGGAAAATAAGCATTTTTGTCGTTTTTTTTTTTATCAATTAACATATGCCCCCTCCCCCCCCCCCCCCCCCGACGACACTCAAAAAGCTTTGGTATGAGTTTGTTAAATAGCAGTCCATATTACCTGTAAAAAGGAGTTTTTGTGTCACCGGGGGGATGGGGACGATTTAAAAATATTTTTCGTTTTCCATTGATTTCTTTAGTGAAAAACACAAGTTTTACCAAAATTTTACAGTAATCTCTCTTTGCAATTCCAAATAAGTAATGTTTTATGAAAATCCATCAAATTATCTTTAAAAATATTAAAAATTCAACGAATTTTTTAACTTTTGAAAATTGACTTGGAGGTGGGCGGGAGAACAATACTATCGTTCGCAGTTCTTTATATTCATTACAAAATACGTATGAATTTTAAAATCACTTTGCCTTATGACCTTCAGATTTGAGAAGTCATAATTAAATTAAACAAAAATCATAAAAAATTTTAATTATTAACTAAAATCTCATATACAGTATATTGCAGCATAAGTAGGGGAAATTGACTATGGAAAATTTGAGGTCATCCTGTTTATCGTAATGCTTGTTGTAAGGTTACCATTTAATAATATCTTTTTCAAACTAACTTATAATTATTTAACTTCGTTTCTAACAAAAAAAAGGCATACCACCTGAATATTTATTGACTATTCACCGTAAAATTAAAACCACCGTGAAATGTATCTTTCTAACAAACCGTAAAATATACATGTGAGATTAAAGATGTCTACAGTAATAAATACAATAATTAACGAACTTGTTGGCAAATGGATCATATCTTTGAGTTGTTTTGTTTTATATTATATGTGTTATTTAGTAGGTCATTTGACGAAGAAGTAGCGGTCTACCTGATCAAGGCATATGCCTCATGACTGACATGATCCGCTGACAGGATCTTAATTCTCCTACGCACCTGATCCCACTTACAGTGTCTTAAGCGGTCCCTTTGTTGTTTTGTACAAAACTCTGATGTACGCTAAATCTAGGGATGCATTCACACCAACGGACTTGTTTCGGATGCTAGATATGACAAATAACTACGGTATATAGCCTACATTGACCAAACATGCAGTGAATGCAACCGAACTCGTGTGCTCTGCATACTATATAGCCGACAGTTTAGAGTTGTGAGTACATGTTCAATCTCTAGAAACTAAAGCCCAACCTGTACCAAGATTGTTATAACCGAAAAATTTCAGAATTTTACACGTTAACCTTTGCAAATGTGTTTCACAGTGCGTATTGGAAATCGAAATTATCCCTACTGCCAATATACTGAAATATCATGCGCTTTTCCGGTTGGGTTTTCTTTAGTTTGAGCACAATTTTTGACTGCTTTAGTAAAATAACTACATGCTTAATTTTTCAAGGAAGAAAAAGCTATAATCGTACATAATCAAATTATATCAATCATATTGTGCTTAATCCTTAACGTGCAAGACAGTAATGAAGAAGTGACGCGTCTCATTACAAATTTTCTCCTAGCTTTGAAATGCATATAAGTTGTAATGAACAAATAATTGGTCTAATTACCGATGTGATACCTTTATTGTCATGAGAATCGGCGTGGAATGGCGACCCGTGTTCGTGCTGGTTATCTTGCATTACCTTTGTTTGCGTTTCATTGCAGTATCGAATATTTTTGTGTTTGTTTGTATACTGCACTGACCTGTATAACTGTTGAAATTGTCTTTAGTATCTTACTTCCCTGCAATGGGAGAACAGTTATTTTTTGTCGCTACTGAGTATTGTCTATCATACGTCCATATACATCGGTGACAATTTATTTCACTGAACAGTGACGAAGTGACTGTTTCTATTTATAGGGGCCCGCAGATATATAAGAGTTATAATAAATATGATGGACAAATCCTTTTTTACGAATCATGGTCAGCTTTAAACTGGTGGTGTGCATTTCTAAATAAACGTGATGGAGAGCTACAGGTGCAAAAGTTCACAAATCACACCTCAGCATGCTCTTACGTATCATGAATAAGAATAGTAGTCCGTGGGCCCTGTACATGTTTAAAATACTGCAATTCACTGATTTAGGATAAACATGTGTTTTGCAATGAAATACGAGGGACGTTCAATAAATAATGTCAATAGCTCGATGACATACAACATAGAAATCATATTATGGCATGAAGCTTGACTTTCTCTCATTATTGAATCTTTAATGAATTGATAACAGTTTGTGTGACCACTTTTCATCGCATTATTTCATTGTGGGAAGCTGGAAAACAAGGGCTATTCGAGACACTGCATAAAAATGGTCAAGAATGAGTAGAGTAAAATTAAACGGTTCATTCAAGCAGCTGTAAAAATTGTTAATATCCCAAAAATATATTAACTGAAAATGCCAATGCCTGTTTTATAGACAGGTGAACAAGACTAGTAGATTTCAATAAACAAAAATTATATAATGGGCATCAAAATGGGTACCGTCCTTGGCACCAATGACTTACAACAACCGATATAAATTTGTGATTATGTTTTATTGACTTTAAGACACATAGCAAAATTAATAAAAATCATTTTGGGGATAGTTCACACTGTTTTAAAGAAACATTTTATAGTTAAGAACCCTCTCTACACTGCACACTAAAAAGTTTTGATTCTAAGGTATTTTTCTGCAGTTAGAGTGATCTGCCCCTAGATCTAAATTGTCATGATACTGTGTTGTCTTTGAACATTTTTCCCGGGGGTAAATGCCACCCACAATACAGTGAAAAACGGATAAATAAGCTCAATATAAACTCCTTTATACAAAATATTTTTCTCAATGTCCCAAAAAAAATTTGCATTTGTGTAGAGAGGGTCCTTAAAAAGTTTAATACTCAAAGGTCACCCTATTTTTTTGAAAAATGAGTGAAAACGACAGCGTGTAGGAATATTCGAATAATTATTTTAAAAAATCAAAAATTGTACTCATACACATTTGTCTGAAATTTTAACAGAAAAAAAAACTTGAATCCATTTCGCTTTAAACCATCAAAGCAAATTTACAATAAGATTTACTTGACAAAAACAGCAAAAGTCTGAGAAGAGCAAGGAATTGCAAGAGCACAAACCAGTTTTATTTGCTATTTTCTTAAATATGAAGGGTCTTTTTGTTCAAATTCATATTTGGGGAGGAAGTTCAATTCATGAGAAATCCTGAAAACATTTTTTGTGCAAAAAATTAAAGCATTCTGAGACAAAGGAAACAGAATGAGGAATTCACAACATTAAATTTCTTGATGACAGCGTCCAAACCCACAGGCCATGAAGAGTAAAGGAGTTTTGGGGATAAAAAGATAGTTAATGTTTCGTCACACCAACAATATTTGCCAGATTTTTTTAATCATTGACTTGTTTCATTTCACAAACTTAGAAAAAACATCCATCAGAAAGAAAAAAAAACCAAGTACAGCACATCATAGGATCTGCCATATTCCAGTATACGAAGGGTCATACTCAAAAATGTGTTTGAAAAACAATTAGAAATTAAATGAAAATGTTACGGACATGTGTTTTAATTAAAAGAGAACATTTTAGTTAAATCAATAAGACTTAGTCATAGAAAAGCGTTTTTTTTGTTTCTTTCCGAGCCCCAATGACATTATTTATTGAACACCCCTCGTAAATCGAAGCTAGTGGACATTTTTTGCTTTATTTTTTTAATTTTGCTTTCATATGTTGAAAAATGAAAGTAGATAAAAGCTAGACACCATGATATTTCTTAGACTAACAATTTTTAGAAATGTGTTCAAATAAAACAAAAAAAACCCATCAATGGATGGAATTGTAAACAGGTTTAGAGACGTAAATCCCGCTATTAAGGTGGATAGAAGTCAAAAACGATCTTGTCTTCTTAAATTTCTTTCAATGCAGGTTGAAAGTTATTACAATAATTAATTTGGGAACATGAGAGAATTGAGATCGTGTATTTTTTCTGAATATTTCTACAATCACTGTTTGCTATGATAAAATTGTTCACACTCATCCCATCCAAAGCTTTTGTACTATTAAACTCTTATCTTTTAAAATTAAAGTATTGA